TACGTGCTGCCGGCGGTGTTCAGGCGCATGGGGGTGCTGAGGCTGTCTGGCAGCCTGGCAGAAGCGGTGGATGCAGGTGGGGTGGCAGGAGGGGTGGGATGGTGGGAGGAGCGCTCGGGAGGTCGTGCCCAGGATTGTTCCTGCTCTTCCCTCGCCTTCGCCTGGCCGGCCCTTGCGGGCGTGCCCCTCTGGCTGACTGTGGGGTTCTGGTTGCCTGCTGAGGCCGCAGGCGAGGACCTGCAGGGCGACGAGCGGGAGGCGGCGCTGCGGGCTGCCACCGTGGCAGCCGGCGCAGCCATCTGCCAGGCGGCCGCGGCCGGGGACGGCGAGGCCGCCAGCGGCACCGGCGGCAGCGGCAGCATCCGGCCCTGGATGCTGAGCATGCACCTGCTGCAGCGCGAGGAGCGGGAGCAGTGCGCGGGGCGCGGCAAGGGGCAGGGGCCGGCAGGCGAGGCGGCGCCTGACAGGCGGCACGTGGCCAAAGGCACGCTGGCCTACTAGAGCTGGAGGCGTGCGCAGTGTGGGCAGAGGAAGTGAGGCAGGACGAATTACAAGATGGCAGTACCGCATGTCAAATGAATGCAAGCTGAAGATGGCAGTACCGCATGTGAAATGATTTGCAAGCTGAGGGCAGCGCTGGAAAGTGATTTCAACCGATCCCAGTGTGGTGTCGGGCAGTGCGGGCAAGGGCACAGTCTACCGGCGCAGCGGAGCGTGAGCTACGGGGCATGTGACAAAGAAGAAAAAATGGCTGCTGAAGAAGCAGGGGGTTCACTCGTGGGTGCGGCAGCTGCCAATGCCCCAGAAGCTGCAGAAGTTCAGGAAGCCAGAGCCGGCCCTGGGCTTGGCTGCCTCCTCCGGCCTGGTGCCAGCACTGGCAGCCTTGGCCGCGGCCGCCTCGGCTGCCGCCGCCGCCGCAGCAGCAGCAGCAAGGTCGATGAACTGCGGGGTGGGCTTGTGCAGCTCGGGGCCGTGGCACAGCGGGAAGGCAAAGCCGGGGCGCTGCTCCGCGTGGCAGAAGGCGGGGATGGTGGCGGCCTCGCCGGCGGCCGCCTCCACCTCGCCGGCGGCCTCCACCACGGCCTGGGCCGGCGCCTGGGCGGGCGGCGCGGCCTCTTGAGCGACCGCCGCGGCCAGGAAGGGGTGGGCCAGCACCTCTGGCAGCGTGATGCGCGCCGCCGGATCCAGCAGCAGCAGGCGGGTGATGAGGTCCCGACATGCGGGGGAGACGGAGGCGGGGATCTGGCGGTACCGTCCCGCCCGGATGTTCTGCAGCGTGAGCAGCACGTTCTGCTGCTGCACGGGGTCCTGCAGGAGGGGCAGGCAGGCAGGCAGGCAGGGGCGGGATGGATTAGCGCAGCGCTGGGCCGGGGAGCAGGCACGGTGCAGCACCCAGCTGCGCGGTGCAGCGCGCACCACCCCCTCGGGTAGGCAGCTGGGGGCGGCGCACCCAGCTGCGCAGTGCAACGGGCAGAAGCCAGGCAGCTGCTGCACCCGCTGCCTACGCCGCCCGAGCGCTGGGCCAGCACAGCTCACCTCGAATGGGTAGTACCCAACCACGATGAGGTACAGCAGTACCCCCATGCTCCAGCAGTCGGTGGCAGACGGGTCGTACCTGCGCGGCGGCGCGGCGGACGGGGAGGGCAGGTCAGAGGCGTTGGTTGCGGGGAGCAGCAGAAGTGTGGGTTGTGGGGAGCAGCAGGGAGCGGAAGCATGCAGCCCGTTGCCCAATTCAGCAGGATTGTCGGCTCCGCGCATGAGCAGCAGTGACACAGGCACTTTGGTGTATTTCTCGGTGGCCGCATTACCTGCCAGTGGTGCGGCTGCGCAGCACAGACAGGTCTCCAGTGCCCAGCATCTCGGGCGGCAGGTAGTCGGGCGTGCCCACGCTGGGGAGGGAGGGGGTGGAGGGGCAGCGGGAGAGGAAGGGTGAGCGCAGCGTGTCCCGCCCGCTGCGGGGCATGGCGGCGACAGCTCCCCCAGCCAAGCCAGCCAGCCAGCCAGTGCGCCGTCCACCACCCACCAAGCCAGCCAGCCCACCGTCCGCCACACCCGCTCACCCCAGCGTCACCGCCGACTGCTGCGACTTGCTGAGCCCAAAGTCGATGATGCACAGGGTGCCGTCGCCTCGGCACATCACATTCTCCGGTTTCAGGTCGCGATGGGTCATGCCTTTGGCGTGGATGAACGACACGCCGCGTACCTGCGGGGGGCAGGCGGGGCGGGGAGGGGGGCAGGCAGGCAGGCGTCGGGTTGCGGGCTGCGTGGGTGCTGGGGTTGCTGCCCACAGCCAGCCAGCTTTGCTTGCTTGTGTGGGCTTACATTCTGGTTTCAGCAAGAGCAAGCTTGCAGCCAGCACGCACGGCTAAGCTGAGCCAGCCAGCCAGCGCGTCAGCCAGGCAGCCAGCAGTGCGGTGCAGGCAGGCAGGCGGGCCGCGCACCAGCTGCAGGAAGTAGCCCGCCGCCACCTCCTCCCTCAGCCGCCCGCCCTGCGTGTTCAGCTGATCCAGCAGGTCCATTCCATCCACCAGCTCCCACTGCAGAGGCAGGCAAGGGGATGGGTGAGGGAGGACCCCAGGCGCAGCACACCGGGGCTGCGGCCTGTATGTTGCAGGCAGCGCTGCGCTGCGCTAGCGCAGCAGCCAAGGCGGCGACGGGTGGTGCAGGTTGCAGGGAGGCGTCCAGCCCGCTCACCACGATCACCAGCAGCTGGGCGCCGTCCAGGGCCTGGGAGAAGAAGTCGAGTAGTTGGACGATGTGGCGGTGGCGCAGCCGCGCGGCGCACTGCAGCTCCCGCTCCGCCGCCTTGACCGCCGCCGTGTTGCCCTTCTGGTCCATCACCTGCACAGGGAGGCGACCGGCCAGCGAGGGAGGGAGAGGGCAGGTGGGCGCAGCAGAGGGAGGGCGCGGTGGGGAGGGCGCGGCGCTCGGTGCGGGGGGCGGCGGCGGCGGTCCGCCCTGGGCCCACCTTGAGCGCCACAGACCGGCAGGCCTGGCGGTCCACGGCTTCGTAGACGACCGCGGTGCCGCCGCCTGCAAGGGGCAGGGGGAGGGCATGCAGGTGCGTGAGAAAGTCTGTGCTGCAAGCTTGTTCTTGCTGAAACCAGACTGTAAGCCCACACAAGTCAAGAAGGGGGGAGGAGGGCGGGCACCCGGTGACGACGGTGGCGGCAGGTGACGATGGTGGCGGCAGCGGCTTGGTTCGATCGTTCAGAACCGGAAGCAGCCCAGCACGCACGGTTGAGTTCGCGCACGACCACATAGCGCTCCTGGAAGCCCAGCAGGGTGCCGGGAGGCAGGCTGGCCATGGCGCTTGTGTGCGGCGCCGGTGTTGCGGCGGCAGCGGCGGGTTGCAGTGAGCCGCCTGAGTGCGGGAGGTTGCTATGTCACCCCTCGGACTGTGATAGAGCCGGCAAACGGCTGGGCGCATTCCATTCGGCCAACCCATGGCCACGTCAGCCACCGAGGCAGGCAGCCCGAGTCAGGCACAGATCGAGGCATTCCCGGTCGAGGCATTGATGATCGACGGTTGAAGCGGGCGGAGGCTGAGGCGCATGAGCCGAGGTGGCAATGAAGAGGGCTTCCCCATTTGCTGCCGCTGCCACTGCCGCTGAAGCTGCCACTGCCGCTGCCACAGGCCATAGGCCACATGTGTACCCTGTACAGGCCACGGAGACCCATGACGTCCTGGACGCCTCCAGCCGCAGGAGCAGCAGCGGTCTCACATGCCCGGCAGCCTTGGATGTGAAGCTTAAGTCGCCCAGAACAAGCTCTGCCGCCGCCGCCGCCGCCGCCCTTCTCGCCGCCGCCGCCCTTAGTGGGGGTTGCTGCACTTGGCGCGTCGGGCAGATCAAATAATGGTCTAAAGCTAGACGTTAAAACCGGGAAGTTAAGCTTGTGGAGGCTCTTCCCCACCTTTACCTTTACCTTTACCTTCTCGCCTTCTGGCCTGCCGCCACCCTCCCAGTCCTGGCCGTCCTGCTGCGGTGCTGGGCTGGAGTGTCTGTTGCGGCTTCGCACCGGCGCTGGCATTCCACGCACCCACCGACTTTGGGGCTGCCCTGCCACCGGTGCCTCTTGCAGGCACCCCCATCGGCTGTGGCCGGCATGTTGGCATGGGAACGCCAAGCCCGGCACAGTAGCAGCGGCTGATTGAGTAATGGCACAGCCGACCGCCGCGGCAGGCCACTTTGCACTCCTGCCTGCAATGCATGCACCCTTACATGTGCAGCCTTCTGGTATTTTCATGTGCCTGGGAGATGTGCGGGCATGGGGGCCCGTGTGCCCCATGCCATTTGAGTGCCTGGCGGCGGCGCTGCCTGCCGCCGGGAGCCCGCACCAGCATCGGCACCCGTCGGCCTGGCAGGCCTAAGCTGCTAAGGATCCCCACGTCCCCCACCACGTTGTGGGGGGTGCGTGTCCGGCAGGACGGGGAGCGGGGCCAGGGTGGGGTGACCCTGGGACGCTCAGCTGGGGGGAGGGTGGTCGGAGCCATGGAGAGGGTGCTCCATGGTCCACCCCCTCTCCTGATGCCCCTGCCCAAGGTCTGCTCACGCGGCCTATCATAGCGGGGTGACTGTAACACAGATACCCTTGATCACGTGTGCCCCCTGCCCAAGGTCTGCTCACGCGGCCTATCATAGCGGGGTGATGTAACA